CGAGTGGTACAGCAGGACACTGCGACAATATAGCCGTATCCGCAACTCCAGCTTTCGGGCACTTCCTGAGACAAGGGAATTTGTACATTATAAACCCAAGATTTTGGTAATATTCTTGATTTTAAAGAATAGGTAAAACAACGTTTTAAGGATATGTGGACACAGGGCCAGATTTTTAAAGGTATTTAGGCATCTAAAGAAGCAGAGGGTTTCCTAGTGAGAAGTTTAGGGAGCCTAAATATTTAACTTCCACTGCAATTTCAAGGCATGAGTCTCATTGCATATCAACATGAAACAAACTACCATAAAATTGTTGAAGTCGGTGCTATTATGCTAGCGTTAAACTGGAACAAATAAGAGCTTCGGGGCCTGACTGATGTGCACTGTAATTATTCCAGAATGTCTTTAATGGACATACTACACTGATTCAAAACCAGGTTTTACCTGCCTGATAACTTTTATTTCCCTGCTATTCCTCATGCCTTATTTCAGGTACACTCAATTACTTTGTTATTATTTCTGCCTGCCATCAAATGATGGCAACAAGAGGAAATAGTAGTGGACTGCAAGCTTAGCTTTTATACTCATTTATGCAAAGGGCCATACATGAATCTTTCAAATGAAATACTAGGTACTCCACTGGGTCAGTTGAGGATTTCTTGTGGACCATATGTCATTTTAGTGCTGTGTTTTAAGCTATAGATAAGACAATGACCCCGATTTTTTTTTTTTTTTTTTACTGTGTGGCATCATTTTGGCATTGGTAACAGGCACTGAGTAATAAAGTGAAGAATGGGTTGTTATACTGTGTATGGAAATTATATATATTTTGATAATTAAGATTTCTAATTTAACATAAAGCAAGTTACCAAAATGTGTCTGCTTCTATGTTAGCAAAGTCCATTAGATAAGGAAAAAAGCATACATATCCAGAACTTTTTCCTTTTCTGGACTTTTCCAATTTCTATATTAGTGAAGTCCATAAGATAAGGAAAAAGTAATATATATCCATAACTTTTTTTCCTTATCTTATGGACCTTGCTAGCATATAAAAGCCAAGAATATATTTTTCACTTGCAGTCACTTTCTTCTGGAGACGAATGGATATATACATATTTATATGCACACACATGCACCTTACAAAACTGAAATTAATGCAAAGATAAGATAAAAACTAATCTCAAAGCAATTATCTTCACCACATGGGATGTAGTTCTCATAAGAAAATTAATAAATTCCACTGTATGTAGGCATGCTACCACCTTCATATCACCCATTTTTTAATCTTTTACCACAGCTAGTACATTGTTCATAAGGATCAACTAAGGCACAGGTACCGTGATGTTCATGTGACCAAAAAACATCCTTAAGTCTGGGTCCTTGGTAATCTCTCCCCTATGCAATAACCTGAATCTATTTCCTGAACTGTCAGTGAAAAAGGATGATGCAGCTGTCATGCTAGGAAAATAAGGACTGTTGTCACAGTTCTTGTTTTCCAGGTCTTTCTTCTATTTTGAGTATTTACCTGGCTTGCTGCTGACAACTGTCTGCATTTTACGGGGTAGATTGCTCAGCTCACAGAGGAAGTTGAAAACCCGATGGCACTCTAGCTCATCCCAGCCTGCTGTTAGCGTCTGAAAACATCAAATGAAGGGGAAAATGCATAGAGAGTTATATAGATTGAAATCTCAATGCAGGTTATAATAGTCTTACATGTGATATCATTTTTCTGTATCTTTAGAGAGAATAAACTTGCATAACAAAGACTAGTACATCTGAATTACTATGTGTTATTTCTACCTTAATTCCTGTTTTCAAAATAGACATGTTGCAGGCTATAAGAATATAATTAATGATCTCTGCAGCCATATCTAAATTATCTATACAATAGTGAGATCCTAAATGTATCATGTAACAAAACATTTGACTCAAAGATGCTTAAGTCCAAGTGGAAAATAAATGTATACAGAATCCTTTTTCTTGCTATAAAGACCTCAGCTCTGTTTTTATAACTCTCTGAATGCTAATGTAATGGTTAATAAAAATTAAGAACACTGCAACTTAGAAACATTGGCCTAGATGCTAGCTTTGAAGTCAGTGGTCTTTCTCTAGATTTCCATGGGTGAAACTGAAATTGGAATCTAGCTCAGTCTCCTTTGCTTAGTCCCAGAGAAGCAAATCACAAATAACAAGCCTAGCATTTGACACCAAATACCTTACTCAACTTCAGTGCTAAAATGTCTATTCTTAGGCCTTTACTAAGTTGTTTTTAGTCAGAGTAGTTATCATAGAAAATACACTGTTGATTGCTGAACCTGTGGACTTGATATTGATTTCTTTGCATATCAAATAGCTATCACAAATTCTTCCATTTTATTACAGACCTCGAGCTATGCAATATTTCCACCTTAATACAGAGGATCCTGGTTTAGTGGCTTGTGAATTTTAAGTTTGAAGCAATGTTGTAAAATAGCCCCTATGTATTTCTAATAGGATTTTAATTAACAGTTTATTATTTGAGACAGGCTACTACTAAGACCCAGACTAATAAAATCAACTATCTTAACTACCAGAAAGAAAATTCAGACAATTGTAGAGTGAGTAAATGCATTCGCTTGGAGCTTGAAAGTAATGTTAGGGTTTAAATTGTCTTGCAAACCAGCTTCAACCCAACATTTTTCTATATAACTGAGTTGGATGAAGATTGTATTTATCTGCAACCTTCTTGAAAAGCTAACTATTTCAAGACTGACAAATTTATAACAGAACAAATTTTGGTTTTTATGTTAGTAACACCCACTTTCTTTTTTCTGAAAGGTACTATACCTGTAGAAATACCCCATAACACTGTAATCCTAAGCAATGCAAAGGATTTGGACAACCATTAAGTTTAAAACAGGAAACCTGCAAAGACAGAACTTTGTTAAGCTCATTTCACCAATGTAGTTTAATTCAAAATCAAATTATGTCTATTAAAACTTTTCCACGCTGCCAGTCGCTGCAACTACACGAGATGCTGACTACACGGTAGCTTGTTACTACTGCACAGTAGCATTGCTTAGCATGAACCATGACGTGACGCTACTGCACAACAGTAATGAGCTACTGTGCAGTCAGTGTCACCAGGAAGCCATGCAGGGAGGCTACTGCACAGTAATGCCGATTACTGTGCAGTCATTTAGTACTTGATTATGCAAGTACTAAATGACTGTGCATTACCAACTGCACAGTCAGCATCTTGTGTAGATTGCGGCAGTGTTCAGCAACACTATGGAAACATTTATTTCTGGAGTTAAAAAGGAATTTCTTTTCTAGTGTTCAGCATCTTGCATCTCTGCTGAACTACTTAATCAAGTTCCCATTTAGTGATGGTTTTTAACAAATCCATTGTCCACTTGGAAGTAATCTGAGACCATCTAACTTCCCACAGATGGCCGGACAGACTTTAGAGAGAGATTATATTTTACTTACATTTTTATACACTGTCTTCAGGACCCCAAATTGTTATGGTTTAATAACAAAACATGTTTAAGTGCTAGTAAAATTTATCCCTATGCAAAGAATTTGCCCAAGACCTGAGTTCCATTAAAAGCTTCTTGAGTGTAATTTAAGCAGTATACACACCCTCTACGGGCTCTCTTCACAGGAGTGAACTTCAGTCTATGTTCATTTCACTAAAATGTGGCAAATATTATCTGCATCTGTGAAACCTATTTTACATTTAGTAATAGTCCTAAAATATCAAATAAACAATGGAACAGATGAACATAAAAGAAGTAGTTATATGGAAGATTATACTCGCTGAAAGTAGACTTAAAAAAAGTGTGTAAGGAAATAAAGCATCTGATGTTCTGACTTTTGAGAGGTAATGGGGAACTAACTTGCTTGTTTTCTTTGAAAATCTCACTCTATGTATCTAGTATTTGAAAAATATTGTTATAACGTTAAGTGCTTAACTTCATATTTTAAAGAGGCCTAACTTTCAGAAGCTTGGAACACAGCAATGACTGTCTATGATTTGGAGTAATAAATGCAAAGCATCTCTAGAATACAACCATTTAAGTGCCTAAATATGGATATGTATCATTTTAAGGACCCAAATTTGAAAATGTTGATGTACATATCTGGAAATGACTTAACTGAAAAATGGACTGATTCTAGGTTAGTACATTAATGATATTATTATGTGATATTATGGTGATGAGCATCATTGAAATGCCACAAATTAATTAAATTAAAATCTAGTATCAGAATTTTTTTTTAAACTGTATGATGTTCAGGTGACAATTCTAAACAAGACTCTCTATATAAACTATAACAGAGCAATGAAGTATATGCTTACTTCTGAGAGTATGTTGTGTATATATTTAAGTCTGTCTTTTGTGGGCAGCAGTAGTGTGCACCTTTTAAGCAATAAACCTGTGAACAGAAACATACAAACATGCCATTCAATTGAAATACATAACTGAAATACCTCAAGCATGCACTGCACATGTTCCCATGCTAGCAACACAGCACTGTACCTTCAAACAAAAAGTGGTACAATACAGTGACCTGTGTATTGTAAAAGTTTGTGCCAGCCATTGTAGTACAGATGCCTTTTATGTAAAAAAGTATGACGGAGAGCATACAAGGTCCTTATAACATAGTTTGTTAACTAATTTGTTTTAAAGTCCATGCATGCCACAGCTGGAACCTAGTAAAAATCATTACATTGGTTTTAGAACTACAGCTGTTAAAAATATTCAAATTTGAAGTAAAATAAGTAACATTTTCTGATACACTTGGAAATCCTTGTTTCCCTTTATCATACAAGGCTATACTTCCAAAATATTTAAGTCAAGCATATGGTCAAATAGGGAGGTATTCTGAATTGTTTTAATGTAAAACATATCTAGGAGTCAGGAGTGTTTTTCTACATAAGATTCAAAATGTAAGTGTTTAGGATACCAGGATCTGGAGTTTGTCATGATACACAACAGCTGTTTGCTAGGCAACGGGGTTTTTTTTTCTAAATCAATGGACAGCAAGTCAGTTAAACATCTTTCCCTTCAAAAAATTATGGTAGAACAAAATATATATAAATTGTTTGTTAATATCCAAGAAATCTGAAGGATAGCTTTCAAATGCTCCCTAAATTTTCAGTCTCCTAGGAAACATGTTATTTTTTAAATGTCAGAAAATGTGTCATATACTTCCTGTAGTTTTAAATAGACTATTTTCCTAATCTGCAAATATGTTGCTAGAATTCTAATATAGCAGATATCATTTACTTTATCATTCTGGGACTTGTTTCAAAAACAACAAAGTCAACTTTCCATTGACTTCAACAGGACTGGGATCAGATTCCTGAAAAGGAGATCAATCTTTAAAAATGACCTATCTGCAAATATGAATACAGCTGTCAACCTGGGGATTTTAAAAATAAAATAAATATACACTGAGGTTATTTACAAAATCCTGCAAGCAATCTATGTGCAATTTAAGGTAACTTGTAGTTGGCCTAGCTTTGACACTGTTTTTTAACTTTGGAATATCTTGATTCTTAAAACATCTTAAGGTTAGAAGACCCTGAGTAACTTTGATTCCAAAAGTAAAAACAAAATCGTGTCAATTTGAGTATTGGATTTTATCAGTTTAGGAGATTTATAACAATATGGTACAAACTAGGATTTCTTTACATTTGTTTCTCTTCCAGTGGAAGCCATACAGTAGATAAAATGAAGGAAATGGTTGCTGCATTGCTTTTGACTGAAAGGGTGGGTGACTAAGGTAAATCATAAAATCACAGAAATGAGGGTTGGAAGGGACCTCAGGAGGGCATCTAGTCCAGCCACCTGCTCAAACGTAAACTTCCCTTGCTGCAACTTGAGACCATTGCTCCTTATTCTGTCATGTACCACCACTGGGAACAGTCCAGCTGCATCCTTTTTGTGACCACCCTTCAGGTAGTTAAAGGCTGCTATCAAATCCCCCCTCTGCCTTTTCTTCTCCAAACTAAATGAGCCCAGTTTCCTCAGTCTCCCCTAATCAGTCATGTGCCCCAGCCCCCTAACCATTTTCATTGCCCTCCACTAGACTCTCTCAAATTTAAATACACCAGGGGTTGGTAGTGTTTTTTGGGCAGAGTACCAAAAACACCCACAACCTTGACTTGTCAGATGTTGGTATGCCAGGGATGGATGGTAGGGGAGCCACAAGGGACCCAATCCTTGTAGCATGGCAGTGCAGCCCCAGTCCCTTCCCCAAGGCATGTGTGCCAAGCAGAATGCCTTTGTGTGCCATGCTCTGACACGTGTGCCAGGGGCTGCCTACCCCTGGCCTACATCCTGTAACTGCATTTTTTTTTGGTAAATCAACATATATGCTAAAAATGCACCACAATGTTTTATATAAGAATGACATTTGAAACATTATTTTGAGCATTTATTTTCTACTGTGCCAGAATAAGCTGAGCAGGTGAGAGCAAGAATAAATACCATCCTCCTACCATTAAACATCTTAATTAGTATACAACAAATACAGCAAGACAGCTATAGTGCAAACTTCTGCAAGCAGCCCCTTAGCTTTGGCCTAAAGGTGAAATGAAAATTTACTGTTCATGCCCATTTCAGTCCTCGAATTCCAATATAAGATTGACAAGGAGAATGCTTATCAGTGGCAACCACGATGGTCATTTTTGTCACACGCATATTTTTCTTCTAGGAAATTAAATGAGACCACCAATTTGCTTCACATAGACTATCCAACAGGCTTCTGATAATACTGTTGCTTGATCACTCAGGAGTTAGGCTGGATTTGAGTATGGATAAACTGGTGAAAATACTCTGTCTCATTATAAGTCCCCTGAGCAATACACTTGCTTTGCTCCAACCCCTATTTCCCCTTTTATAGTTCTTTAGATGAAATTTGGAGGAAGCAAAGTATACAAAGTATCTTTTTTGCTAGTATTATTGGTACTACAAAAGTTATTTGTGTGTGCTGAAATAATTATTTCAGCTTATATTTACTTGAGAGCATGGGAAGTCATGGGATTTAGGTTAATAGACTATGTTGCTGGCCCTCTACACAAGAATTAATTTTACCCTCAAAGAAGGCTGCATAAATACTTTAGAAAACAGTAAATAGTAAAATATGTACACTATTATCAATCACTAAACATTACTGAAGAAGTTCTTTAATCAATTTTTGTTTTCTTCTAATTGTTACCATTCCCATTATAAAGGTCACCTAGAGCTCTGTAGTGCTCTAAAATACAGGATCCTTGTCTCTTGCCAGATAGCTCAAGGTTATGAAAGTCTTTCTGTAAAAGCCTTCTGTTTCCTGATGGGGTTGAGATGTAATTAATAAGGCGGCTGCTGATGGTTTTCGACACCATGCTTAGCATGCTGATATCTTTCACTGAAAAAGCAAAACCCAGTATATCTGTAAACCTTTACTGCAAAAACAATGCTAGTCAGTAATCAAGAACTTTACTATAGGTCACTACTTAAGCAGGCCAAGAGACATCAGTAACTCGAAAAAGACAAATATAATCCTCTGCCAGATGATTAGGCATGCATATGGATCTATTAAATAACCTTTATATATGGTGGTCAGACACGTGCTTCAAAGAGCTCCTAAGTACTATCATTTTTTTTGGATGATGAACCTCTTCAAACACCTAAGCTGAAAGTTTAGACAACAAGTTCAATAAAAATCTCTTCGATTTTCAATAGGGCCTGAATTAATCAAAATGACTTTTATTTAAAAAAACAGATTTTTGCATTTGATTATTATTAGCTAATGGCAGTAATGTAATTTCTCTCTGAGTCTCACCTGAAAGATGTTCCAAGACCATTTGAAAGATCTCTATTGGCAGTGCTTTAAAATCTCCCAGTGTTGACAGAGATTGGGAATCAATGTCCAGGATCTTGCAAAACCGTCTGGAGCGACGGTTACTACGTCTGTATTTCTGGTTGGGAATCAAGGTATAGCTGGTACTTACAGTGGATGTCATTCTTCAGTAAGTCTCATAAATTTATCCTGTAGAGAAAACACAGAAGGCATATAGGGAAGGAAATTAAACCCATGAGGGGGATAAAATGAAATAATTCATGAGTGACGCAGTAATGGAGTATGAAAGTCTTACCACTTGGGTAGGATAAATTTTACTTTAAATGTAATGTTATGACATGCAATTTAGCAAATACCATCCTAAAGCCATATTCATGCTTCTTGTTTTATATTCCCTCCCCAACACAACGAGTAAAACTGCTCTCTTTTCTATACATGAAGAATGTGTATGTGGCAGATGAATGAAAAATTATTGTTACTTTCTAATTCCATATCTGGGGAGGAAAGGTACCCAGTGTTAGTATGGCAGCATCAGGATGTTAGATAGTTAAAAGTTAAAATAAAAGGTGTAGAGAAAGAAGTATACTATCTGTTATAAAGTACACTGGGGGGGCTTATCAAGCCCATAATACATAGGTGACATGTTACTCATGAAACCATCCATCCCTGCTTGTATCCAGAGGAAACTAAAAAGGGTGACAGGGAGAGAAAAGTATGATGCTATTTGGCTGACATAGTCGATACTCTTCTTAGACCATGTAACCATAATCAAATAATAGAACACTAAAAATTGATAAGGATACCATTCAAAAAATTGCGTGCGTCTTTTTTGCCTCTCTTTAAACGAAGATTAAAATTTAATGTAAATGAGTATCAAGTACTAATTTTCCCTGCTGTATTTCAATTTATGTATAACTTAATTTGCTATAAGGACAGCATGTGCAAATATTGCCATGTGTGGCACAGTGTTACCAAACCCAAGCATTCAAAAACCATGAGTCAGGCCCCAAAATAGCACGAGATTAACTTAAAAAGGACAAAACATTTAATTTTTAAATTGATACTTTTTGTTTGCCATTGGTTTCTTAGACTTTAAAATACATTCAGTTGATGTTTCCAAGCAACCATGATAGCTATCAACTTCTTGTAAGCAAAAGTTGAGATTCTCATGCAGTCGCTTGACTCAAGGTGCTTGGCCTTTAGGAATATTGCCAAATATAGTGAGACTTGCAATAAAATTAGAAGGGTTGAGAACACTGGTAGCTACACAATTGATTCTGTTCTTCCATTAATGAAGCATCTTAATTACTATCAGTAGGAATGACCAGGAGAATAGGTCTTATTATTTGAAAGATTAAAAAATTATGGAAATCGCATAAAACAAATTTTGAAAACTTTCCTGTTGAACATAGAGAACTATGGCTTGTATGCTTCAAGAGTATCACAGAGCCATTTTACATAATGTAGCAAATCACCACATCTCCAGTGGAAGTAGTATACTGGAGCAAGTTAAAAAAATTACTGACAATTACAAACAAGTTTGAATGAACTATATTTTCTGCTTTGTACTAGGATAATATTTAAATACATTTGCCTGTTGTTCATTTAAGGGAATTACACATTATTGCAAGCATATTCAAATTATGAGATATTTCAGGCTGGCGGAAAAAAAACCAAAATAAAACCTCATAGCCTAAATTTTCACGAGGCCTGTGAGCAAATTCAGGTAGTTTTATATTACATTGTTTTATTTTAAGCCACTTAAGAGACAAAAGAATTGACACATTTAAAAACAACTGAAAAAACAAAAATAAATAATAGTATTGCTGCAGGAAATACCACCTTCAGAAAACAAATAAATGCACAGTTTTAAGTTGGCAGCAGTTTTATGCATATAGCTGCAGGTTCAAGATGTGAAAATCCTTACGTTATATAAAATAAAAACAATCTTTAACTGTTGTCTATAATAAAAAGAAAACACAGCTATCTTCTTTACCACTTAATTAATTCAAGGCTGGCTAAATCCTATACATTTTGTTAATTCATACTTTAGAAATAAAGTTACAATATGGGAGAGAATGCCTCATCTTTTTTTAAAAGAGGCATTCGGCACTAGACTTGTTGAAGCCAACAAAGGAACACAGAGTGTTTTGGATAATATTACATATAGGAGCAGTCACTTAAACATGGTGAGTGATCAGAATGGAGCCATCTGTGTTTCCATTGAACTCAATGGTAAAAACTCATTGTTTTAATTGGGAGCAGAATTAGGCCAGTTGTTCAAACATAAATTATGTTTATTTTTCATGTTATGGGTCATATTTTAAAAACTATTCAAAGCTTCATTTACTTCATGTACTCGATGATATGTTTTGCATTTTTGAGGGAGTTCAGCTAAGGACGTGACAAAATGGATTTCACTTAGTGACTGTCCAGCCCTCAAAAGCCTCTGTCTGGAACCCTCTGGTTTGAAGAGCTGCTTAATCAAAGCTGGAAGATAGATAGGTAAATGTTAGGCATTTAAAAACTAACTTTATAATTCATAATGATTAATACCAATGATTTTTCTGTTATTTATCCTGTCTATACAGTGACTTATTTATAAGCCAGAGGCCATCAATATTCAGCTATCTTTCTATCCTATGCTTTCTATCTCTAAAGACCCAGTAAATTACTCTCCAATGAATGCATGTTTGTTCTGAGCACCTGTATTTTTCTGAGATTTGTATTATTGTTTTGCTATGTATAGATTAAATAGATATATTTAGTTACCTCAGACAGTAATTTCAGGACTCTAGCTTCTTCCCTCCCTAGGCATTGCACAAAGAAATAAATGAATCACAATAAACATAAATTAAATTGGTATTATCTCTCCAGTTCTCTGTTGACACACAGACACCTCTAACCAAAGAGCGACCAAACTTTGTGGTGCCAAAAACTGGAGTGGCAGCATGCTAATAGTTCATGGACTGCACCTGACTTGGTTTAAAGACGCCTGATTCTCACAGCCCCTTTACACTTGACTTTTTGGCTTTCACTCAAAATGTGATTGGCTTTGATCCAGCCTGTAGTCGAGAAGGAACCCCAGCATCTTTTTTATCACAATACGGGTTCTCGTTGCCCCTTGGGCTGCAATACAGGATGCTGTAGATCACGCTTGACCTTTCGGTTGCGTTGGGAATTGAATTTAACCCTGGAACCACCTTCATGACTCTGGAGGTATATGACCCATAGGATTCGCTTCACAGCCCTTGGACTGCATTTGGACCTTGGGCTGCACTTAACAAACCTCACCTGAATCCATTATAACCCCACAAACCCTCCTTTCGCCCCCATGGGTCACATTTCAATCCATGCACTCTGAATCCCGGCTCCGGAGGGTCTCTATAATGAATGATTATTGGTTAAAAAAAAAAGAAAAGAAAAAGATACTTCTGAATTAAGCTATATCCATTTTATTCTCAGCAGAGATTTTGCTTGCAGACCCAACCTTCAAGCAATAGTTTACAAACCCTGTTTGACTGGAGTGAAATTCTCCCCCAACAAACACACTGCACTAGGGTATCTGCCAGCGGAAACCTCTGGCCTGTAGGAAGAGAAGATGGCACCTATGAGGGGTGAAAAAGGGGATGTGAACGTGGGGGGAGAGGTGAGAATCAGCCCTTGCTGACTGGATTTAAATAGCCTCTACCAAAATATGGCAGTTAAATTGGCTAAAATATTAGCCAACAGTTTACATTTTGTAATTTATTTATTGATTTATTTTAAAGGGTTTTTTTAGGTTGAGGGGGAAAGCTTTAATGTCTTGTTTCTGGGGGAAATACAAATATAAGTGTTTTTATCTTGGGGGGGGTAATAGACATACCTATACATAGAATACCACAGAAATCAATATTGTTAATCCAGCAATGCTGGTTTAATGAATGTGGTGTAATTAATTAATTAATGGTATTAATTGTGGCAGAGAAGAAAAGTAGCTCGCTCTCTATACATATATATTAGAGAGGAAATTACCACAGAAACCGAAATACTTTATTCCAGTAGTAAGTAGCTGAAGGTCGGTTTTGGTTTTTCTCCCCAGCTGTTTTGTTTAGTATTTTAAGTGCGTATTTTGAACCGCCTCAGGGTTCCCGCCTTTTTTTGGCCTCCTCCGGTTAGGAGGGAGGCTCCCAGGCGGCGCCCGCCCCCCCCCACCGGGACACGCCCCCTCATGAATAATTAACAATGGCTCCACAGCTGCCTCTGTGACCTCGACCTTCAGAACAGCTCCCCACTATGAATTGTTTCGGTGGGCGCCCGCTAAGCCCCGCCCCCTCATAAATATACAACGAGGCCATTCTCGAGGCAAAGCCACGCCCCCTCGTGAATATATAACGAGGCTAACTCCCATATAAGGCAACTCCGTGCGGTTCCTTCCCCTCCGTTTCAAAGGGAGTCTCCCGCCCGCCCGGGTGGCCCCTCATGGCTGCGGCGGGGTCCCTGCTGTGTCAGCAGTTGCTCGGCCACCTTTCCTGAGCGCGAGGTAGTCCTAGGACAGCACTAGTACTGTTACGCAAAGTCCATTGCACGCCACATCCAATGATGCTAGAGAGCACCCTGAGGACCTGCAAAGAAGCTATGCAATGGCACAAAGTAATGGCCTGCAAAAAAAAAAAATTAAAAAAGGTCATTGTGTAAGATTCTTGCACTATGACACCAAAGGTTAATGTTGTGATACAGGCTGCCAAAGTCTTAACACAAATTGAATTCTGCAATTCGAAGACAATAGTGTCATGCAAAGATGTGTCATGGCAAACTCGCCGCGCGGCAACGCAAAATCTCACTGTCTTGGGAGTGATGTTATGGTGTTGCAAGACAATGATATTGCGCACCAGTTGTACCGCATGTTGCCACTCACTCAATTCACTATAAAATGAAGTCAAATATTGTTCTGTGACCCTAAGAAAAGGCAAGTGACCACTTTTAATATAAGTAGTAAATTGTATGTTCTCATTAGAAATTTAACCTTTAAAACAATACTCTTCCAATAAGGTTCCCAAAGTAACTAACTCCCAACCTATTTTCATTGGTCAGGATAACCCAACCCACCCCTACAGGTTACATGCCTCTTTATGCTCTTGAAAAAATCTCCATCAGATGGCAGTAGAGAGCTGCAGTAGATTGAATAGGCTTTTCCTCATATTTTTTCTGAGACTTTTTTAAAGGCCAAAACTTTTGATTTTTTATAAACACTCCTAGAAATTAAAAAATAAAAAATAAAACAAAACTCAAACCCAAACATAGTACCAACCAATAGCTGCCTAATCCAGATTATAATGGGAACCTACAGAGAAAGGAAGTGCTGTGCTGATTCAGCTGTGTGGCTTTGGCAGTTTTACTGCATATGTACGTTGGATAGCGAGAGAAAAACCAGCTTGTTGTGCCTGATTTTTCACTGCATGCTCTGCCCAGAGGGTTGAGTCAGCTCTGCCAACAAATGTCTTAACTACACATCTTATATTTGAGGGACAGAATATGCAGAGTCTTGGGGACATACAGTGTGAACTTCAAATCATCTTCTGAAAATAAGTTTAGCTAATATATTTAAATTGCTGTGTCTTGACAGTGCAGGCATGGCTTCCCCTTGTGAAGCGATGAAGATTAATGCCAGAAAGGAACCAAATTAAGGTAAAGACTGAGAGGATTCAGGGAATTACGCAACTTAACCTTTCCTATTTGCTGTGTTCAGAAATCTCATTTGGTCTTCTGCTGTCACTGCATATCCAGTTTCCTCCTGGTTAATAGCTTCACAATTTATACTTTTATATACTGCATGGCTCTATCACCAAGAATTAAGCTGCCATTGTTGGTGTCCTGAGCAAATATCACCTGCCTTTTGCCTCCATAAATTTGCTCAAACATTTTAACTGCATACACCCTTATTTTCCACTCCCTGTCCTCAACCAATATGTATTGTTGCTTGCCTTGTTGAGTTTGGCACCAGAGACAGGTGGATTCCAGGCATGGAGGAACTGATCCTTATGTGTGTGGGCATTTACACAAGCCCACCCCCACCTCAAACCAAACCCACAGAAGTCTTTAAATCCAAGCTAATGTATGCAAACTGCTTTGTGAGTATTGGATACAAGTTGCCAGGGAAAAAGTTAATTTTTTAGATTATTATGATAATAAATGGTGCAGTATGAGGCCTTTTAAATAATTAAAAATACTAAATATGTGCTGATTATCTGAGTTTGCTATTACAACTCAAGCTAATATATGTTATGCAAATTTATCTTGCCCTGTCTATACCGTCTATTTTACCTGTGCAAGTATCTCAGAATTATAGTAGTTAAAATACCACTCATGTGTCTAATGCAGTGCTCCCACCTTGCTACTCCTTGTGAAGCTAGATCACTGGGAAATTGAGGTGAAAAGGCTGTTTGAGATAGGGGGAGAAAGATTTTGAAATACATTTAGGTAGATAAGCATGCAGATAGGTGCCCTGTGGGATTTTTGAGTGCAGCGAAGGAGGGTGGGGTTCTAATAGCCTTCTGGAAAGGCAAGGGAGCTGGAAATTAATTTAAACCCTATTACTGTTAAATTCAGCTGTAAGGATAGAAGTAGGCAGGGCCTGCATCTTTAGTGCAATTAATATAGCACAGTTCTTAGAAACTACAAATCTCTATATATTCTTACTATTCAGCGAGAACATGCTAGAATATTATACTGTAGCAGAAACTATATTCACAATAAATCACATGCACCTGAATTCACCCTGTCACCTAATGTATCAAGGATGGCACAAGAGTAAAGAAAGTGAGCCATCTATGAAACAGGGTGATGAACTAGAGAAGCCACAGGAGTCCTTGCTAAACCCAAGTGATTTTAGGATCAGTGAAGCTGATGTGCACGCAACTTGTCTGTGGCATGGATAAGTTTTATAAGCAGTAGGATTTATTTTTTGTTCAGGGAATGAATAGGCATGGCCACATATTTCACTACCCTTCATCCCATATTTAACTTGCCCCTGCTCCTAAAATGAATATTAATGAGATTATTTTCCATAAAGGGCTATATCTCAGTTTTGCCAGCCCCAAACATTAAAAAATCATGAGTCACAAGATTGTCTTAAAGCACACTTTTTTAAATAACAAAATGCTTCCTTTTAATGTTTCCTATTTAAGGGACTTTCAGTTTTGTTTTCATATTTTCTCCATGACCATGCAGGCTAGAAACTTAACAAACAGTCAGAAAGCAATTTAGTAAAAGACAGCTGGAAAGCTGAAATTCTGTCGTCGTCTCTCGATGCTAGGCGCTACGGCTTTAAGGGAACCCCAAATGTCTCATGACAGAATCACAAGTCTCTCTGCAGCACTGGTACCTTTCTGTGACAGTTGCTACAACGTGAGCCCTATAAGAACAGAAATAAATAACAACAGTCAGCCACAGAAAAGAGAATACACTGTGCATACAATGGATGATGCTCCCCAAACAGGCTTAGAGAGGCAGTAAAGGTTCTTCTGTGCTTATTCTCTGTTTAAATCAAAATTCTCCTTCATTTGCCGCTCACTTGTTTCCTTCTGAGGTTTCAATGGAACTTTGAGATGTTATTAGATTGCTCAGATGCAGCCTTTATGCACCCTGAACAGAGTACCTTAAAGCTTGTTATGGAAGATGAAAATGTACAATTAGCAGTAGATCGTTGATTCATCATCCAGCTTTTCTACCATTGCATTATGTTATGGAGCAAATTAAGGTGATGTTTTGTTGCATCCTGTCACATTAATGAGATTTCAGGAACAAATTGTCCTGTTCTAGTTGGTTTGAGTTTTTATATAGGCAGTGATGGCAATGCACAGGAGGTCCGAGGTATGTTACAGAGCAAAGACAAAAGGAGCTGCTCACAAAACCAAGGTCCTGACCTCACCCACACAGACAGCATGAACCTAGCTCTGATATGGTGCTAGAGGGATCTGAATTCTGTTATATATTATATTAGCAAATATTCCAAAGTGTGATTTCTCTGTTTTTCTGCTACACTGGAAGAAGTGAAATGTGAAGCAGATATGGGAGCAGAAAGAGAGATAACTGAAAATTAAATGCCAAAAAGTAAATAGAAGGAAAGGATTAATATTAATCCCTTTTTTGAGAACTTGGTTGGTCTTAAAGTGCAGGGCTCATATTGACTTCCTTGACTGATTAACTCTTGCTGTTCTGATCCTGAACTCAGTTCTGTTGTACTGCATTAATTCATTTGCTGCTGTCCTCACTACAGCAACAGGACAAAGTTTAATTGGCCTGAAGTGCCATGAAACCTTAAAGCTTCAGAAGGACCTAAAAAGAATATTCACCAGTACTGACACTTAATGGGGTGTCTTCATTTCCATC